GCCGCCCCCGCGCCGCCCCGCAGGCCGCCGCCAGGCCCGAGCGGGCGCCGAACGGGGGCGTTTGCGCGGGGAATCCCGTAACACCTCCCGGCGACACCTGGCCGTGCCYGCGCGCCCCGCAGGAACGGGCTCCGCGGTGTAAGCGCGCCCCGGCACTGCTAAAACGCCATGTGAGGCCCTCAGACTGCGCCCGGGACTGCAGCTTTCCCCCAAAATACGGGCCCGGGCGGCAGTGTAATTCATTAAACATGTCCATTAAGCTCTCCGGAGCTGTACGCTCCTGTCGGGCTCTATTTACTGCAATTTCAGCAAGCGAGCAGATTGGTTGTTTACCCCAGTTGGTGGTTGTTTACCCCAATTGGTGGTTATTTACCCCAATTGGTGGTTATTCACCCAAAGTGGGTAAGTTTTATTGCTCACGTGGAGCCGTGGGCTAAGAAGCCGGCTCCAATGCTGCTCTGCTCCTGGAAGGATGGCGGGAATGGGGCCGGCACCCAGGGGGATTCACATTCGGTTTCCCCCTGTGCTCGGGAAGCCTTCTGCATCCTGTGTGTCTCATGCAGAAACATGGAACTTTTCCTGAACAGCCAGCAAATAAAGAATAGGGAAAAAAAAAAGAAAAAGAAAAAAAAAAAAAAAAAAAAGCACTATTTACCCTTTAGGGAGCTGTATTTCCTCCAGTGGTGTTTAACAAAACAATTACCTCTCCCCCCATAGCCAAGCTTCCTGCACTGCTGATAGCAGTTCTCCTCCCTGGCCAAACAGTTAAATGCAGCTTTTCATTTTGCTGACCTGCTGCCCTGGACGAGACGTTTCGTTCCCCAGAGGCATTAAGGCCTCCAGGAAGGTCTCCCAGACCAAAGCTGCATTTTTCCCACTTCCTTTTCCTTCCAATCCCGCATCCCACGTGGGTGCTAAGGCTCCACGTGCGAGCGTGGCCTGGCCCCGTGCGCTCCCGGGGTGACGTTTCCGAGCACACGCACATTCCCCTTGTGCATTTTGTACCGCAGCCCACGTGGCTCTTCTGGTCGGGCAAGTTAAGGAATGTGCTTTAATGCAGCATCCTTGTCCCGGCCTTACGTGGCGTGTTAAGTGCTTTTACATAAGGCATTGGGCTTACGGAGCACACCCTGTTTTCCTTGCAGTCTTCAGAGGAAGAACGGGAAAGGTTGTTTTAATGAGGCGCCCAGATTTGCCCAGTGACAGCGGGTGCAGAACCGCGTGTGCGGATCTCGAACCGAACAGGGGAACGAAGGCACCTTCCAAAGCACTGGATGTGCCCCGCGTGCCAGCACACGTGTGTGTTTTCACTTAAGAAACTCCACGACGTGAAACATTAGCAGGGAGAACAGGGATTTGGGCCCATTTCGTCAGATGGTTTCGCTGGCTTCGATTGCAATGTGGCACGGAGGYGTTTGGGGGTGTTGCACGGCGTTGCCTTGTGCCTGCTTGGTGCTTTGTGTCCTGGTGCGGCTGGAGCACCTCAACCTGCTGCCCTGGGCTCGACGTCCGCCTCTGGAGGGGAAAACACAGGGCAGGACAAGGTGTTTGGGCTCTCCAGAGCCACCTCATCCCGGAGTTTTCCTAGTGCTGCTTTAAGCAGCCGCCAGGAGCTGCTGGTAGCCCCTTGCAGAAGAGGGGCTGGACAACCCTGCAGATCAAATGGTCCCTCTGGACCAAGGGCTGACTCCAGGCATTGCTCCAAATGGAGCCAGTTACCATGAGACTGGAGCAGGGCAGTGAGACACAGGCCACTTCAAAACGCTTTTCCAGCATTCATTTTTTCAGCAGGAGCACGAGTAAACACATCTCACCCCCGTGCCACATCGCTTATGCAAAGGGACCTCAGGACGCTCCGCCACTGCGTGCGGTGTTTGCACTGGGAAGGAAGGAAAACGCTGGGATGCCCTTCCCTGTCTTCCCCACTAGCCGCACGCGGTGGGGCTGACCCGGCACTGCTGGGCACCAGTGCACGGAGCCGCCCCGGGAAACCCTCAGGAATCTCCTGAGGCTGCTGCATCTCGGGGTCTGTGGCCAAAGGAGTAGCCTGGGGGCTGCCACAAGGGCTGGGACACACATGGACTGGCTTGGAGCATCTCCTGCATCCCTGCTCCGAGGGGGATGTGTACTCAAATTCAGCAAGACCTTGCCAGTGTCTTGAGSTTGCTATTTCGGGCTCGGAAACCTAATGGAAACTGGCCTAATGGTGTCTTTATGAGAGGAGTTAAATAGTTCCTTCACTTTAGAGAGCATCTCCCAGGATGACGGACCTCCAAGAGCCGTGTGGAATGATGAAACCACTCACGAGTCGTTCCTGAAATTCTGTCTTCTTTAGAAGCCCTCTGGCTTCTCCTGCTCACACAGTTGAACCAGAGYCACGGTGGTGCCGTGCTGGTGTGAGGAGCAAGGGAATGTGGAGGACGGCGCTGGCCCCCCGCCAGGATCCCGGCACCAGGGATCCAGCAGGGATTTCAGGATGCACAGAGCGACCGTAGGCGCTGCCTTGGAAAGTGGGCCAGGCAGATGGAGGACAATTATGAAACTGCCCCCACCAGCTTTGTGAGCCAGGCACATTACACATTTAATGATGAGGAGGAACTTGTGCAGTGTGAGGGTGCCCGAGCCCTGGCCCAGGCTGCCCAGGGAGGCTGCGGAGGCTCCTGCTCTGCAGATCTTCCCAAGGCGCCGGGATGCGCCCGGGTGCCCCGTGCTCTGGGTGTCCCTGCTGGAGCAGGGGCTGTGCTGGGGGATCCCGAGGGGTCCCTTCCAACCTCAGCCATTCYGTGGGTCTGTGATTTAAATCTGGGATCTCACTTAACGCTGTGGCCTTTGGATGTCTCCGGAGGGAGCGAGTCGTGCCCCGTGCTGCGATGGGGCCCACCATGGGATTTGTCCCTGTGGTATCTCCTGTCGTGGATGCCAGTCCTGCTGGCGAGCCCCTGCTTGGTGCATGTTGAGCGCGGCTGCCACGGAATCAGCAGGAATCAGCCCAACGTGGGTATGGACACGGCGGGAAAGGACCGGTGTGAGGCCACCCTCTGGAAACGCCGTGTGGGCCCTCGCTCGGGGTGGCGGGGGAGAGYGCAGGGGGAGAGCGCGGGCGCCCGCCCTTGCCAAGGGGAGCGGGGCGAGCGGGGCCTCTCCAGCCCTTAGAGGGAAACGGGAGCGCAGGAGCAGAATGACACCGGCAAAGTGACCCACTTCTTGCCATCCTCCCTGCCATCCTTCCCATCACCCGTCTGCATTTCGCCTAACCTCCTCTTCCGATCTCTTCAGCCTCCCTAGAGGGGGACTCTCCAGCGCATCCATGCGGTGCCTTGCAGGGAGCTTCGGAGCTTGGGAAAGTGTGTGGGAAGATCCATGGGGCAGCCCTGTGGCGCATGGGGACTGGTGGGATCAGTCACATGGGGGCTCCCAACGGCACTTTTGCACCCAGGGGTCCCTGTGCTCTGTGCTGAGTGACGGGCACGCGCGGCAGACGGGTGTCCCTGCTTATGCCCCCACGTGTTCCCATTATCTGCTGGGAAGAGCAGAACTGGGAGGCCTAGGAAGGTGCCTGCATGACCCCATCCCGTGCAGGGGACCCGCGACGGGTGCAGGTGCCCTGGGGTGTTTGTGCTCTGGGCGTCCCAGTCCCTGGAGCGTCCGGCGGTGCCCAGGGTCCTTGGGTATAGCTGGCTGCTTGGGGCGGTCATTATCCCAGGTGTTGATCCCCTTGGGTGCGGGCATCCCAGGTGCAGTTACCCTGGGTGCAGACACCCAAGGGTGCAGACACCCAAGGGTGAACACCCTGACTGTTGGCACCCCTTGGCTGCAGACAGCCTGGCTTGCAGGGTGCAGACTTCCTGGCTCCAGGTTCCCTGGATGTGGATGCCACGGCGGGAAACATCTCCCAGCTGCGGATCCCCAGGTGTGCATCCTGATGGGGGATGGATCCCATTTGAGTGCAGCTACCCCCAGGTGCAGATCCCCAGGTTGTGAATGCTCAGGATGTGGATCCCCCAGGGTGCAGATGCCCTGGGGAGGGACATCCTGGGTGCGGATCTCCTGGGATGTGAATGCTCAGGGTGTGGATGCTCTGGATGCAGACGTCCTGGGTGTGGATCCTTGGGATGCGGATCCCTGGGTGCGGATGCTCCGTGTGCGGATCCCTGGGGTGTAGATCCCCCAGGATGTGGATACTTGGGTGCAGATCCCTGGGATGCGGATCCGCATGTGTGGATCCCCAGGATGTGATCCTCAGGTGCAGATCTCTGGGATGAAGATCCCCCAGGATGTGGATGCCCCAAGTGCAGATCCACAGGGTGTGGATCCCCAAGGATGTGGATGCCTGGGTGCGGATCCCTGGGATGCAGATCCTTGTGTGCGGATCCCCTAGGATGTGGATGTCCGGTTGCCAGTCCTGGAG